CCAAAAGATTGGAGGCTAGAAGACCTCCAAGGTCCCTTCCAACACCAGGAATATATTCTACTAGCTCTATAGCCATGCTTCACTACAAAACTATGTGGTCGGGCTTAGTTTTAGGGGAGAAAAATCATGGGGGGAAAATTCTGTCCCTGCCTACCAGCATCCATCAGTATTCATCTGGCTAACGTCCTGTCAGTGTGCAAGAGAGTTGAGGGCTGTTTGGAAACTGAAGCAGTATTTGCTGTGTGAGCAAGAAGGAGACAGTAAGGAGCTTAGGTGTGGCTTAGTTCAACTGTTCTGTACTAAAGCTGATTGCTGCTGGGAAACTGAAACTGAAACTCCTCTGCTTATGTTTTGCCTTTCGAAGAGATTTCTTTTCAGGTGGGGAGGGGGACTAGAACTCCTTAGCATCAGAGCGTGTTAATAATAATAACAACAACAACAACAACAATAATAATAATATAGGAAATACTAATGCTGTGATGGTCATTTTGAAAAATCCTTTCTTAGTGAGCACCTAGAAGCCAAGAGGAACATACGTGTCAAATTCCCAAGTTTGTAGGCTTTACGGTTCTGGAGATTTGGTGATGATGCGTGAGGGGTACTTGGCTTTTATAGAGAGAAATAGATTTCTCTGAACCTTTGCCCTTTGAACAGAGGAAGGAAACTAGCTTTGCTTCCTCTCTGCAAAAAATAAAATAAAAAATTGCTTCTGCATTCTGTCGCTGGTCGCTCACGATGGAACTGACTGGACCAGGGATAGCAGATAAACTGGCAGCCGCCACTTGGCTCACACAAGTGGAATTTGTAAATCCTCATCGCCCTAAATATATCAGATCCCCAAGAGCCTATTTAAATGTACATGTTCTTGCTCTCTGCTTTGTCTGCTGGCCCAGGAATTCAAAAGTTGGCCAACACATTTATTTTTAGCCAGGGCTTGGATCACCTTACTGATCTTACTTCAGTCCAGTCAGTGCGGCCTTGTGCAATCATAGACATATATAGCGCCAGGACCTTGTGCATCTCCCAGATTGAAGACTGAGGAGGCAGGTCCTGGGAAAGGGGTAGAAAAAAGACATGGTTGTGTGCTATATGGATCCAGAAAGTTTGGTTAAGTGGATGAGGGTCATCTTTTAATCCCAGTGTGTACTGATCTGGAACCTTTGGCTGACATTGTCTTCTTTAATGGAAATTTGCTTGGATTTGGAGAAAGCACCTTTAATTTAATTTAATTTAATCTGCATTCAGCTAGAACAGAGGTCTCTAAACTTGGCAACTTTAAGACTTGTGGACTTCAACTCCCAGAATTCCTCAGCTAGCTATGCTTAAAGTTGCCACTTTGGAGACCCCTGAGCTAGAGGCACATATAGCAATATATTGTAAACCTGTGATGGTGAACCTATGATTTTCGGCCAGTTTGAGGCCTTTTTCGGCCTCCCAAAGGCTTGAGGAAGGCTTCTGCAGGATTTGCAGGCCGAAAATTAGCCCCATTTCATCATTTCCTGTTTGTCCAAAAATACCGGAAGTGATGAAACAGGGCTGGTTTTCAGCCTGCAAAGCCTGCAGAAGCCTTCTTCAAAAGCCTCTGGGAAGTCGAAAAAAGTCTCAAACTGGCCAAAAATCAGCTGTGAGGCACAATGCAGGTAAAGGGGTGGTGGGAGTGGGTGGGTGGGGATTGCACGTGCATATGTAGGGGGTGTGGGAGGGCACGCATTGACTTCTGGGTGCTGGCACGCACGCGAGTGCGGGCTTGTAAGCACATGCACAATTTGGGGCACAGGAGCCCAAAAAGGTTAGCCATCACCATTATAAACTATGGTTTTCATACGATAGGGGACTGGACTTGCTAATACAAGAAGTTGTTCATTCTGTTTGTAATACTCCAAATCATCCACTGAGGACTCAACTTAGCATTGTAAGTGTGACTTAACACCACAAGAGCAACACTATTAAGAGTTTCTCATCTTTAACAACTTTGAGGTGTTGGGACTTCAACTCCCAGAATCCCCCAGCTAATACTCTGGCTGAGGAATTCTGGGAGTTGAAGTCCAACCTTCAAGTTTCCAAGGTTGAGAAAGAGCAATCTAGAAATTGATGCTTACAGGATAAAAGAACAAGAGCATTGTGGTAGCCTAGCGGTGAAGCTAATCGCCTCCCTTTCGGAAAGTTGAGAGTTCAATCCTAGGTAGCGGTAGATATTTCTCTTCCCGGGGGCAAAGAAAAAAAAATCTGCTGTGAACTCCATGTAGGTGTCAGAAAGGGCATCCGGCCAGTAAACGCTCAGCTCTATCCAGTCGCCCTGACTCCATCCCGAATTAATTACGGGACGAGATTTGTAAAGGGGGAGCAAAGGGGGGGTTATAAAAGGACAATTAAAGGATTCTCCAGTCGTAAGCTTGTAGTAGAAGTCACAATTGCATCATGTTGTCGCCATGCAAATGTTGCTATGTCATTGATGCCCATTGCATCATCAGCATAACAGTCAGAACACATGGCCATGCTCCTCCTTTCTTGCTCCCCCAGGTAATGTTCATGTCAGCCTTTGAAGCCATATTTTACTTGGAAGCTTCAAGGGTGCCACATTTAGTGCCTGGGAAATTGGGAGGGGGGGTTTCATGGAGAGTTGGACAATTAGACTCAACAACATTCTTTCTCAGAGAGTCAAGGACATGTTGCCCTTCATCTGGAGAGGAGTTTCTGGAGGGATGTCTTCAGTTGGGATGAAGGTTTGGTTGGGAAAACCCTGTGATGGACTGATGGGTGCATGGGGTGGATTTCTTTTGGGAAGGGAAAACCCAGAACTGTCAGATTTGGGTTTTCCCAGATGTGCATTAGGACAACTCTAATAAAATGGACCTTTGAAAAGATGCTTGTCTTGGAGTTCTCTGGTTTGGAGTTGGTGAATTGGAACACTGACATTCAATATCAAATCAGCACCTCTGTAAAGTTTTTGGTGGCCTATAGAAGGGGTCACTAACCTTTTGGACCTCAGGAATCACCAAACTCATAATTTTAAATCCCAGGGACCACTAACCAGTTCTGTGGACGTGGCCTAATTTGTGGGTGAGGCTTGGTGGTCCTGTGTCTGGCTGGCCATGGCTTGTATGTAAATATTGTAAATATTTATATAAATATTGAATTATTTATAAAAAAAGAGCAACTTTTACTCAAAATCAGGCAAAACAGGCAGGCAGATTGAGTTGCTCACAGAATCAGATTCATTCAGAGATCTATCTATCTGCCATCGGCTAGTTCAGTCTGTCAGATAAAATTTGCTTGCTGTGAGTCTGCACTGAATAATAGAACCTTCAGTCCTAAGGGAGGTTCGGCTGTGCTTAAAAGCAGAGCCGAAGATCTAAAGACTAGCTAGAAAGCAAGAAATCCAACCATTTCCTGCTTCCTAGCTAATCTAAATCTCCCAGCACAGCAGAACAGCTGATGGTCAGAAAAAGGAAAAATGGCAATTTAGCAGGCAAGCTTGCCAGGTAAGGAGTGGGCGGGGCGGGTTCCCGTGCGCCATGTGGACGGCGGAGCCTTGTGTTTCTGCACAGCCTGGATTAATTGCTTTGGGGGGGGTTGCTCTGGGGGGTGAAATTTCTCTGTGGCCCACCAAAATTTTCTCACAGCCCACTAGTGGGCCGCGGCCCATCAGTTGGCAACCACTGGCCTATAGGAAGCAGGCCATAAGAAAGAGCAGAAGTCAAAGGAGTAATGTAGACAAAGCCTTGCTTCCTATCCTTCACTCTCCTTTGAGTCAACAGGATAACTTGTTGAATATTCTGGAGCTGTATTTCAGTAGATCGCACAAGGATGTGATAGAAGACAACACCTGTAGCTCTGATGCTGTTACCTAGTTTGGTAATGAAATGTCTGCAAGAAAACAAGCTCAGAGAACACCAGGCATGCCTCCAATCCCCAACGAGCACAACTAATTAGTTCAACGTGTTGTACAATCCAGGCTTTTAGTATATTTCTTGTGTCAACAAGACTGGATGACTTGTGAATTTGCTCTTTTTAGTTTTTGCATAACTTTATTTTTTTCCCCTTCCAGCTCATTGCAGCTTCTCTTCCCCACTTCAAGTGTGCAAGTTCAAAGGATGTCAACGCATATTTAGAATTATTTAAAGATAGCTAGCTGTATGAAGAGATTCTCTAAAAATGCCAGCAAGAAAGTCGGTGCAAATTTTTTTTCTTGTTAAAAAAAATAGTAATAATCCCTCAGTACTTTTTAATGTTGTTCTAAATGTATCAGAGCAGAATCTGCAAAAGGATTTGCCCCTATTATCAAAGATGTTATCAGCTGTGTTCCTTGTGTCCTGCCAAGTAGTAACTTTAGCAATAAATAATCCACATACCTTTCTCTCAAAATAGAACACATAGAAGACAATGGCTTACTTGCAAATGGAAGAAGAAGAATGAATCTGTAGAAATCCAGTTTTATTTTAATTTTAAAATAGCCATATGGAAAATATACCTTCTATATTTTTAGGGGGGAAAAACCCCTATTATTTTACAAAATGTGCTTACAAATTAGTAGCACTAGTTTAACTTATAGATGGAATTCAACATTGTCTGCAATGCTGGCCAGGGAAACATTCAAGAACATCCTGAGATTCTGAGTGGTAGCATCCAAAATTGCTTTGCAGGTTTGAACTTTGTTTCCGAGAAGATGAAGAAACTGTGGTCAGTTAGGTTTCACTGTTCAGTGTAACAATCGCACAATGGTTAGTCCAACCACCAGCCCAGACTACTTGCTAATACAATGTTATGTTCTCCTAGACCAGAGGTTGGCACCCTTCAGCTCTGGAGCCACATGTGGCTCTTTTCACCCCTCTGCTGCAGCTCCCTGTTGCTCAAAATATGTGTCACAACCACCACTGTGCAACACCCACTGGCAATTTATTGAGCTTTTCACCCCCCCCCAGCCCGCCCCCCAGTAGGTTTTGTGGCTCCCGGTGTTTTCTTTTTTGTGGGAAACGGATCCAAATGGCTCTTTGAGTGTTTAAGGTTGCCAACACTGCCCTGGACCAGGGATGTCAAACTCGTGTCATCACATTGTTATCACGTGGCATATCGTGACTTTTTTCCCCTTCGCTAAAACGGGTAGGCCTGGCCAGCGCATGCCTGCAGTTTGACAATCCTGTTCTAGACTAAACTCCCCCTCAAACCTGGCACCTTCCAGATCTCAGCAGGAACCATGATGGCTGGAGAATTCTGCCTATCTGGAGAGTTGGTTTGAGTCTGTTTCGGGTTTTTATGTTGGATGCAGACCCACCTTCCGCCCAGCCCTTATAACGGAAAGGCACTTCCATGCATTGATGGCCTTGGAGAACTACAGATCTTCCCATTCTTTGCTGTGCATTCATGGATCTACTGAAATTCTGTTCTGACTCACTTTGAGGTTCCCTGAAGAACCATGGGGCGCATTAGTTAATGGAAAGCCACCGCTCTTCCGTGAGCAGAAAGGATTATTTTGGATGCAAACAGTGCTTTCACTGTACTTCAGAATAATGTGGACGGAGGTCTTCAGGTTACGCACGGAGAGATAACTTGCTTCAGGTTTAACTGAGGCAACACCTGATTTGCACCGTGGGATCTACTCAAGCTTTCCTAACCCATCTCTACCTCTCAGAAGTAGAAAGATTAAGAAGTCAAACATTCTGCAAGGATTCTGCTGTTATCTTCTTGGGCTGGACACTTGGCCTAGCCCGGCCCATTTTGAAGGCTTTCAAGGAGTCTTCAGATCTGAAAACCCAGCTACACACCCAATGCCCGCTCTCAAAAGTTGGCCAAGAGTCACCCTTCAGAGGAGGTTACATTCACTGGCATTCAGGAGGATTTTGGGTCTTCTTCAGCAGAGAGCTAGCGATGGCCAACGCACCACCTTGCACAAACCTCACAAAGTTGTCCCCAGCTAATGGCCCTAGAGCATAGAGCCCCTTCTCATGCACGGACTCGTACGTAAAGAGATCAACATCTACAGGGTTCCTCTTGGAACTGACCGGCTGCTCACAGTCAACAGCCAAGTCCATCCCATTGTTGGGCAAGTAGGCGAGGTTGGGATTGGAGCCGATAAGGACAAAAGCCATGGAGATTGGGTGTATTTTTTGACGGCCGCTCTTGTCCGCAAAGATGCACTTCCGGTCCTCCAAAAAACAGACGACGTGGTGCTCGGGAAAGCTGACGTAGTGTTCGTACGGCCCTGGGTAAGGGTTGGCCTGCTCCCTCATCATCTGGTGGACTTTGTGGTATTCGGGGTACATTGTTTTGGGGAGCTGGTTGAAGATGAGGGCTGGGTCATTGACTCGCCGGCGGAAAACGTGGATCACTGGAATGCTATAATGGTGGGCAAAGAGGACTGCGTCTGCGGCCGTTAAGCCAGCTCCTACGATCAAGATTGGGTCCGACATGATCCCAATCTCTTTGTTCTTGACAGCTTCTTCCAGAGCCGACAGTGTGTGATGGATGAAAGGGAGATGCTCGCCTTGGATCCCAAGCTGGGTTGGGCTATCATAGGTCCCCGTGGCTAAAACCACATTCTCTGCATAAACTGTGAAGGGATGGGTGCCACCCCTGTTGGTGACAATCCCATCAACCTGAAAGAGACTGTCCCTGTTTCCTTGGGATCCCTGGGATGAACCCCAGATGGACCGGCTGTCCTTGGAATCTGGGCCGCCATAGCTCTCTTCCAAATCCAAATTCAGTCTCTTCACAGATGTCACCAGAGTTCCACAAACAAAGTTCTTCTTCAGCCCTTTCTTGGCCACGTAATATTGGTAGTATTGGACTATGTCGCCAGCAGTTGCCCTGTTGTTTCTGAAGCCTCTGTAGAACAAAAATATGGATCAGAACGGACCAATAATCAATGGAAACCACTCATAACTCATAACCAGGGGTGGGATTCAAAAATCCCAGCAACCAGTTTGCTGTCCAGTTGCTGGGTGGGCATGGTCATAGTGGGTGGGGCCTACTGGAACTTCCGAGAGAGCCGTTTTTCACCTTCCCAAGGGTCCAGAGGCTTCCCTTGGGCCTCTGGGAGGCAAAAACAGCCTTTCCCGGGCTCTGGAGGCCCTCTAGAAGCCGGAAACAGGCCTGTTTCTGGGCTTCCGGAAGGCCCATTTTCCCCCCTCCCTGAGCCTCCACATGGCCCCTGCACTTACCTGCATTGAAAATGGGCCACTTGGAGAGTCCTGGGAGGGGAGGTGTGGGCGGGGCCAGCCAATCGGTTCAAATACCGATTCGGCGAACCAGATGCAAATATAGCGTCTGGTTCGCCTGAACTGGTCCAAACCGAGAGAATCCCAGCCCCCTGCTCGTAACCCAGAGCTAGGGTTTTGAGCTCAGTCTGAAAGCATTTTAATAATGGGTTACAAATAAATTGGATGAAAACATAAGGGGACATTCCCATGGTACGCAAGTAAACCTGCTTTGATGAGAAATATGGGCAGCCGGTGGGTTGCTCAGAAGCAGAACAGCGGAGACATCCTGGAATGGTGGGTGAGAAGGACCTTGGGACATGGAATAAAAAGATGTTGCCTAGAAAACGGACAGAGAAGAGGGGACATGGCCTGCAGCTGGCTAGCGGGTGGAGCAAGACGCTCAAAAGAGACCCTCCCTAGTTTCTTGGGGTGTAAAAGAGACAACGGAAGTCTTCCTGACCAAATTTGTCTGGTGCTTCAGGACATCAAATCCCAGAACTATTGGGAATAAAGGAGGTTTTTTTTTTTTTTAATGAATAGCAGTTTCAGTGTATTTGCAAGAGATTAGGAAGGGGTCAAGCTATTTTCCAAAGCAACCAGAAGGCCAAACAAGGAATAATGGATGGAAATTGAACAAGGAGAAATTCAACCTGGAAACGAGGAGAAACTTTCTGATAATGAGAACAATCAACCCATGGAACAGAAGTTGCCTTTGGAAGTTGTGAGAGCTTCACCAGTGGAGGCTTTCAAGAAGAGACTGGACTCCATTTGTCAGAAATGGTGCAGGGTCTCCTGCTTGGGTGGGTGGGGGTTGGACTAGATGGCCTACAAGGTCCCTTTCAACTCTGTTAATCTGTTTGATTTGTTAAACCCTTTCTCAAGCAGGAGACCCTATTCTATTCCGGACAAATAGCTGTCCAGTCTCTTCTTCAAAACCTCCTGTGATGGAGCACCCACAACTTCTGAAGGCAAGCCATTCCACTGGTTAATTGTTCTCATGGATAGGAAATGGAGAAATTATTTCTAGGTTGGATCTCTGTTTGATAAGTTTGTATATCATTACTTCCTGGCCTTTCTTCAAGTGCTTTGGAGAATAAACCCCCTCTTCTCTGTGACAGCCCCTTAAATATTGGAAGACTGCTATCATGTCACCCCTAGTCCTTCTTTTCATTAGACTGGACCTATCCAGTTCCCTCAACCGCTCATGTTCAAAGAGTTGAGCCTAAAGCTACTGTTTACACAAGGACAGTTTTCCCCCGAACGCCATCACTCTGCTAAACAAATAATTCCCTCAACACTGTCCAACTATTTACTAAGTCTGCATTACTATTACTGTTAATCTTCCCTTCCTTCCTTTCACCCATCTCCTCCCCACTTGTGACTGTATGAGTATAACTTTGTTGGTTGTATTCTAATGGTTTTTATTCTGTTTCCTAGTATGATTTGATTGCTTATTGTATCCTATGACTATTATTAAGTGTTGTACCTTATGATTCTTGATGAATGTATCTTTTCTTTTATGTACACTGAGAGCACTTGCACCATGACAAGTTCCTTGTGTGTCCAATCACACTTGGCCAATAAAGAATTCTATTCTATCCTATCCTATCCAATTCCATTCCAATATTCTATTCTGTTCTATACTATTACTATTACTATTCTACTCTACTCTATTCTATTAATTAGTTTCCCAAAGAGAAGCTATCCTACCTTTTCTTCTTGGTCAACCATTGTTTGAATGGTATGTCAGGAAGCCCCATCCAATCTCCTTGGCTCAGGGTGAACATGGATCCTTCAATAGACTAGACAGACAGAAAGAAAAAAGAAAATTAGAACATAAATCCAGATCTGGAAATACAACTGGAAGCAGTGAAGGGATTGATGTAGGTGGGTCCCTCCCACAAAATTAGCCAGAAAACTAAAGTTTGCCCCTCCTCACAAACTTAGCACAGGCCTCTCTCTCTGTAATACACAGTGCAATTTCTTTGACTTGGTTGCAAGATGTTGCATATAACCAGCAAAGGATATTTGCAAAGCAGGGTTTACGACTTTGCACGACGAGAACTCTAGTAATCGTGGCTTATTAGCAAACCATGTTTTAATCTAAATGTTCAGGATTCTATCTGGCCATAAAGTTTTAAGGATGCTCGATCCATTAGAAATTACTTGTTCATTCTTATTATTTGGAATGTTTTGGCTAATCTGGGATTTGATTCCATTTCCCCCTGCTATTTTTAGACTTTGATATTTCATTTCCAATGTAGCCAATATACACCTCTACCCATTTCAGTTTGTGCAAACTTCCAAATCTTCAAACTTTTAAGCTGATGCCAAATCTTCTCTGTAACACAGGTTGTCCTTCACTTACGATAGTTCATTTAGTGACTGCTCAAAGTTACAATGGCACTGAAAAATGTGATTTCTGACCAGGGGTGGGCTTCAAATTTTTTAGCAAGGGGCTCTCTGCCCTAATGACTGGCTGGGTGGTCATGTGACTGGGTGGGTGCGGCCAATTCGACATTGGTTCTTTGCCCTAATTACCTAAAAAAAGATATATACCAAAAAGTTGTTTTATTATTTTGTGCATTTAATACTTAAATAAAAGACTGGGTGAAACCAGGCTTCATAGCCGTGACTGTGAGAGAGATCTTGGAGTCTTAGTGGAGTTTCTGGTGAGTTACGTGATCCTTATTATTTGGGAGTTAATCCCCTTGGAGGATGGTGGCTCTGTCATCTGATTTTCTCTGGCTGTCCCTCGGCAAGCGCTGAGTGGATTGTTTATCTAGCTTGCCATACTTTTACGAGGTGTGAAGTGCTCTTGGCTGAATGCCCAGAAGTTCAATTAAGCCTATTAAGAGCTTTCCCTTGCAGCTTGTCTTTCTGAGGTTACTGGGGGCTCTCCAAGCCCCGCAGAGTCTTAGCTCAGGGCTCTCCTCAGCCCCTGAGAGCCCGCCTCTGCTTATGACTGTTTTTCACACTTACAACAATTGCAGCGTCTCCTTAGTTATGTGATAAAAATTCAGACATTTGGCAACTGGCTCATATTTATGACGGTCGCAGTCCCTCAGAGTCACATGATCCCCTTTCTCACAAGCAAAGCCAATGGGGAAGCCAGATTCACTTAACAACCAGGTTACTAACTTATCAAGTACAGCGATTCACTTAACAACTGAGGCATGAAAGATTGTAAAATGGGGCAAAACTCACTTAACAAATGTCTCACTTAACAACAGAAATTTGGGCTGCAATTGTGGTCGTAAGTCAAGGACTACTTATACTGAATGTCCATTGTTTTTAGATATTGTGGAGTTGTTATTTTGGCTGTTTGGAGAATCAGCTTCAATAAATATCAGGCAGGCATATATATTAACACAAGAACAGTGTAGATAAATTGAAATTCCAACCATATTCAGCAGTTCTGTGACAGAAGTATGTGAAATATTTCAAGCACAAAACACCCTGTTTTATATTTGAAATTTTTTATTTTAATCTTTCATTTGATTTGGTGGGCTATGATACACCAAGCAAGGAAACAATAATATAATAAACAAAATGCAACAAAAAGCAAACTATTCAAAAAGAAAAAGAAAAACCCAAGATGGCAAGTCCAGCAGATAAATCTAAAACATCTCTGTATTATCTAACTTCCAGCAGATGCCCCAAATTTACTGGAAGTGTTTTGACATCGTTTCAGACATTCCAGGAATGCTCTGAAAGAGCCAATTTTTAAGTTCAAAATGCTCATTTCGAACTTGACATTTAATTATTTCAAACTCGCAACACTTTTAAAAAGGGTTGGAACTAGCTCAGATCTCTTTCTACCAAGACCGGAATTAAAATGTAAAACATTTTGAATTTGAGTTTTTGTATTTAATTATTCTTCAGAGTTCAAACTCTGAACAGTTTACAATGTCTAATTCATCCCATACTAACCAAACATCTAGAGTTTGGCCCAGACTGGTTCTATAAACTTGGATTATGTTTTAACTTGATTTACATCAGCTTGGTGCAAAAAAAATCTGTCTGTCTGTCTGTCTATCTATCTATATCTTATTTATAAATATCTATATACTGTATATCTATATCTAGATATCTAGATATATATCTTTTTTATACCACCAGTTCCCATTTAATCTGCTAAAAGCAAAGCTGAGCTTAATAGAATTAACAGAATTGGAAGGGATCTTGAAGTCCCACACCATCCTCTGGCAGAAAATCATATACCATTTCACATAAATAGTTGTACAATCTCTTGTTAAAAATCTCCAGTGTTAGAGCACCCACAACTTCTCAAGGTGAGCCATTCTACTAATTAATTTTTCTAATTGTCAGGAAATTTCTGCTTAGTTCTATGTTGCTTCTCTCCTTGATTAGTTTCCATCCATTGCTTCTGATCCTGCCTTCAAGTGCTTTGAAGTCTAGGTTGCCCCCCTTCCTCTTTGTGGCAGCCCCTCAGATATTGGAACACTGCCATCTTGTCACCCCTGGTCCTTCTTTTTGGTTAAAGTAGTTGTGCCCAATTCCTACAACCATTCTTTATAGGTTTAGCCTCTTAATCACCCTGGTTGCTCTTCTCTGCACGCTTTCTAGAGCAAGGGTCTTCAAGCTTGGCAAGTTTAAGACTTGCGGACTTCAACTCCCAGAATTCCTGAGCTAACATGACTGGAGGAGGAATTCTGGGAATTGAAGTCCACAAGTCTTAAAAGCTGTCAAGTTTGAAGACCCCTGGAATAGAGAGGAGAATAAAGAGATAGAAAGATAGGTAGATAGAATAGACAGATGGAGGGAGGGAGAGAGAGAAAGATAGAGTAGAGAAAGTATGGTAGAATAGATAGAAAGATAGGATAGATAGATAGAATAGGTAGATACAATAGAGCGAGGGTCTTCAAACTTGGCAAGTTTAAGACTTGTGGACTTCCAACTGCCAGAATTCCTGAGCTAACATGACTGACAGAGAGATCCTGGGACTTGAAGTCCACAAGTCTTAAAAGCTGTCAAGTCCGAAGACTCCTGTTCTACAGTCTCAGCATCTTTTTTTATATCGTGGAGATGTGGTCTTGATTCTCTTTTGATTATCTTTCAGAGAAGAAGAGGATTCCAGAGAATTTCTCATGGACAGACCACCAGTGCTTTTCATTATTTGGATAGAAGGCATGTAAGGGGGGAATGCTACCTTCCTCAATTCCCATATTTTTATTCAATCATAAGAAATTCATCTAGGCAATCTCCTTCCACAGTTTTGTTTTAGGCATCTTCACATTTTTATTTTATTTTTATTTTATTTGGTTTGTCAATCGCTTACAAGATAATAGGCATAAGTAAAAACATAATTATGAATACATGGATACATATAAGAAAAATAAAAAATATATAAAAGAAACAATAGGACAGGGACAGTAGGCACGTTGGTGCGCTTATGCACGCCCCCTGCAGACCTCTTAGGAAAGGGGTGAGGTCAATAGTAGACAGTCTTAAGGTTAAAGTTTTGGGGGTTTGGGGAAGAAACCACAGAGTCAGGTAGAGTATTCCAGACATTGACATTAGGAAATGTGGATGACCAAGAAGTCTTTGGAGTAATGGAAAGGCTAACTTAAGAAACCATTTTTTTCCACTGTGGAATAAAATACATAACACAAAGATCTCCGGTAAGAGGAAAGAAAAACCCTTGAGCCAATGCAGATCAGTGTTCGGTGGGAGACGTGATAGCAACATGATCCAATATTTGAGGAGGCTGCCACAAAGAGGAGGGGGGGTCAACTTATTCCACAAGGCACCTGAAGCAGAAGGCGAAGCACGGATGGAAACTAATCAGAAACAACTTAAGAACTAAGGAGAAGTTTTCTTGCCAGTGGAAACACTTGTCCAATGGAACGGCTCGCCTTCAGAAGTTGTAGATGCTCGATCACTGGAAGCTTTTAAGAAGAGGCTGGGCAGCCGCTTGTCTGGAACGGTGTAGAGCCATGATGGCGAACCTATGGCATGTGGCTCTCTCTGGGCACGCAAGCAGTGGCCTCAGCTCAGTTCTGCTGTGCATGCATGTGTGCGCTTCCTGCTGGCCAGCTGGTCTTTTGGTCTCTGCCGTGCATGCATGGGGGGGTGGGGCGGTTGTGCGTGCAGATGCAACGGGGGTGTGGGGTGCACACACGGGGTTCACACATGCGTGGGGTACACACAGGGGGTTCGCGCATACATGTGTGGGTGCGGAGTGGGTGCACACGCATGCGCAGGGATGTGGGAGGTCACATGCAGAAGTGCCAGGGGCAGGGGTGGATCACACATGCATGGGTGGGGTGGGCAGGGCACATGCATGCACTGCATTTTGGGGATGCGCACGCGCATGTTTTGGCATTTGGTGCAGAAAAGGTTAGCCACCACCGTGCCGTGGGCAGGGGGTTGGACTAGACCAGGGGTCGCCAACCTTTTGGACCTCAGGGACCACCAAACTCATAATTTTAAATCCCAGGGACCACGAACTGGTTCTGTGGGGGTGGCCTAATTTGTGGGTGTGGCTTGGTGGTCATGTGACTGGCTGGGCAGGGCTTGTATGTAAATATTATAAATATTTATATAAATATTGAATTTTTTTTATTAAAAAAAAGCAACTTTTACCCTAAATCAGACAAAGCAGGCAGGCAGATTGAGTTGCTCACAGAATGACAGATTCATTCAGAGATCTATCTATCTGCCATCAGCTAGCCCAGTCTGTCACATAAAATTTGCTAGCAAGCAAACTCACAAGATTAACTCACCACACACCATGTATGTAAATATTGGATTTTTTATATATAAAAAGTAACTTTTATCCAAAATCAGGCAAAGCAGGCAGATTGAGTTGCTTACAGAATCATTCAGTGATCTATCTGCCATCGGCTAGCTCAGTCTCTCAAATTTGCTTACTGTGAGTCTGCACTGAATTTGCTTGCAAGCAAAACTTCAGTCCTTAAGGGAGGTTCAGCTGTGTTCAGCTGAAGACCTAAAGACTAGCTAGAAAGCAAGAAATCCAACCATTTCCTGCTTCCTAGCTAATTTAAATCTCTCGCCGCTGCAGAACAGATGATGGTCGGAAAAAGGAAAAATAGCAATTTGGCAGGCAAGTTTGCTGGGTAAGAGTGAGCGAGCGGGGTGGGTTCCCATGGGCCATGTGGGTGGTACAGCCTTGTGTTTCTGCGCAGCCTGGATTAATTGCTTTGGGGGGGTGCTCTGGGGGTGAGATTTCTCTGCAGCCCACCAAAATTTTCTCACAGCCCACCCGTTGGCGACTGCTGGACTAGAAGACTCCAAGGTCCCTTCTAACTCTTAATATTCTCTGTTCCACGTACTATTGACCTTCATTTATAAACACTAAGATCTTGAGCTGCACTTACATGCCAGGCTCCTCCAGGAAGGGTTTTGCCCAGAACCAGATGAGGGATCGCTCGGTCAGGTTCATGCCACCAAGTGAGGACAGAATCAGCTGTCTCGCCAAAGTCTGTATCCGGACGCAGAAGGGCATCGAAAAGGAGAGCCACTGGACTGGAAGATCGACCCTCTAAACCTTCAGAGAGATACTCCAGATCCTACAGGGAAAACAAGATGTTTTAATTGGAGATGTTCCAATTGACCAAGGCTTCCCGAGACTGTAATTAAGCACACTCTGAATTGAATTGCTCAGAGAATCACACATTCATTCAGAGATCTATCTATCTGCCATCGGCTACCTGAGTCTGTCACACAAAATTTGCTTGCCATGAATAATAGAACCTTCTGTCCTAAGGGAGGTTCGGCTGTGCTTAAAAGCAGAGCCAAAGATCTAAAGACTAGCTAGAAAGCAAGAAATCCAACCATTTCCTGCTTCCTAGCTAATCTAAATCTCCTAGCACAGCAGAACAGCTGATGGTCGGAAAAAGGAAAAAAAAAAAAGAAAAATAGCAATTTAGCAGGCAAGTTTGCCAGATAAGGAGTGAGCGGGCGGGAAGGGTTCCTGCAGGCCATGTGGGTGGTGCAGCCTTGTGTTCCGGTGCAGCCTGGATTAATTGCTTTGGGGAGACTGCTTTGGGGGGGACATTTCTCTGTGGACCACCAAAATTTTCTCACGGCCCACAGTTGGCAACTGCTGATCTAGAAAGCCAATATTAATTTTATTTATCTACAGGCAGTCTTCAACTTACAACAGTTCACTTAGTCCAAACTTGCAACAGCTCTGAATAAAAGTGACTTTATGACCATTTTTCACAGGTATGACATTTCCAGCCTCCCCATGATCATGTGATCAAAATTCAGATGCTTGGCAACTCGCGTTTATGACGGCTGCAGTGTCCCAGGGCCACCCAACCCCCTTGCATGACCTTCTGACAAGCAAAGTCGACAGGGAAGCCCGATTCACTTAACTGGGGCTACTAGCTTATCAGCTACAGTGATTCACTTAACGATGGAGGCAAGAAAGGGTTGTAAAATGGGGCAAAATTCACTTCACAAAAGTCTCACTTAACCACAGAAATTTTGGGCTCAGTTGTGGTCCTAAGTCAAGGACTAGCTGTATTAGTATTTTTTACAAATAACTCAAGACGGCCCACTTCCCTCCTCCCAATTCTGTGAGGTGAGTTGGTGAGAGAGAGAGAGAGAGAGAGAGAGAGAGAGAGAGAAGGATGGCCTTAGGTCTCCCAGACGGTTTCCATGACAAAGGTAAGACCTGAACTCGGGGTCTCCTGCTTTCTAGCCTGGTGCTTCACCATTAGACCAAACTGCTCTTATATGACTTATAAATCTATCTATATATATATAAAAGCAAAATACCCCTCACGCATCATCACAAAATCTCCAGAACCGTAAAGCCTACAAACTTGAAATTTGGCACTTATGTTCCTCTTGGCTTCTAGGGGCTCACTAAGAAAGGATTTTTCAAAATGACCATCAGAACATTAGTATTTCCTATATATTATTATTATTATTATTATTATTATTATTATTATTATTATTATTATTATTATTATTATTATT